TGAGGCCTTATATTCTCACTCTGTCTTCCACTTACTAGCTGCTCGGACAACTAAAGGGACAATTTAAAAGTAACATTTGTGATATACTAAACTCAGATCTGTTGGTGCAAATATAAACTTGTGAATTACTGCACTATATGGCTATCCAGCTGCTAAAAGCTTTAACTGCAGAGTGACTTGAACACTTACCCAGTCCAAATCATGAATGAAACCTGCTGTTTTGAATCCTTCATGAATGCAAATGCTGACAAAATAAGTTGATATGGAGAATCACATAAAAAGTCTCCAAAAGGGCCGGGGTTGGAGGCATTGGCTCCTTTGGAAGAAGAACAAACTTTGGTGCGATCAGCGGTAATGTGATAAGTCGGATCTAAATGTAGGTCAGATACATGCCAGAACTGCCCTGTTTTCAGAAAACAAAGATTAAAGAAAATGCATTATTTGCATTTGAACTGGATATACATGGGTATTGCCAAGTTTTCTCCAGTTTGTCTACTGCTATTCCTCTTTCAAGTTTTGAAAAGGGGAATAAATTTAACAAACTGTTGATTAGCCAGTGTGATAAGTGTGGGAGAGTTTGGTGTTCCTGACAAGAGCCCTTCACATGGCCTGCTTAGAAAAACTGAAAACAGAAGTAGAGGCATACGTTTAAACTACTCAGCAGAAAAAAAAAAAAAAAAAAAAAAAAAGAGTTTGGTCGGGACTGGAAAATCAGCTCCTTTTCATTAATAGCAATCTGGAAACTGGACAATAGAGAAGGCAATAGAAGGACTTCACCACTCCACCTGAAAGGAGAGGGAGTTGCATTTTAATTATTTTTCCAGACTTTCCCTGGCTGGAAGCTACTAGAAAAAAAAAAAAAAAAAAAAAAATCACAGTCTAGAAAGGTGAGAAACAGCCTGTGTGAAAAAATTTCAAAGCTCTCCTTCTCCCTGGCAGCTGCAGCAGCAAATAGACTGGGCTTCTCACCAGGGAGGTGTGTGTCAGCCTTACCTACTCACTTTTTTCCAGGCTGACACATTCTCAGCCACTGCTACTTAGGGACTGCACAGATAAAGGAGCTGAGAAGTATAGCAATATAGCGAACAAGATGAATTGAGCTTGCATTAGACTACCTGCCTTCAAGTTTAATGTAAAACGAGAGTAATTTCTTTCTGTCAAAGCACTTGGGAAAGGCACTGGTGTGTATCTGGGGTAGCGGTCGTGAAACCAGGACAGATATAAATTGATTGTTCCCAAGGTCATATGCTCACTCCGTGGAAAAGCAGGCACCATGCAACTGGACCCCATGGAGTTGTATTTCAGGAAGCAAAGACCAGCAGAGATCTTAAAAATCTGCAGAACTGTGACTCCTACCACCAGACAAGAGAAACGCCGGGACACTGCTGCGCGTCTGGTCCGAGGCCTGTCTGAGTCACAGGGAACGAAAACCCTGTGGAAACCCTTCCAGACCACGCACCTGCACACGCTACCGCACCGTGGATCACGCCGGACGGAGCGTGTGTGTGTGTGTTTGCTGCCAGCACAGACACCAAATCTAATGTTTGCCGTGCACGCCTGGGGACAGCGCGCCAAAGGCAAGGCAGGGCAGGGCTCACCTTACCCACCCGCAGCACCAGCCACCCCGGCTGGCTAAATACAAACCCCGTTTAACGTCCACCCCCCCCCCCCCCCCCCCCCCCCCCCTTAAACAGCGATGCGTTTACTTCTCTAAAAGCCCCGCGAAGCTGAAGTCAGCGAACAGCACCGCAGCAGCCTGTGTGCGGGCAACAGTGCCAAAAGGGAGGCGCAGGCGGGGAGCCCGTACGGCCTCCGGCCGGGGCTCCCTCAGCCGGGACAGCGCGGCGGCGGGAGGCTGCGGCCCCGCGCCGGGCCGCCCCTCACCCGCCTCTGCCCGGGCCGGGCCGCCCCTCACCCGCCTCTGCCCGGGCCGGGCCGGGCCGGGCCGCCCCTCACCCGCCTCTCCCCGGGCCGGGCCGCCCCTCACCCGCCTCTCCCCCGGGCTCCACGGGCGGCCTCGGCCCGCCGGCGGACTCACCCACAGCGGAGCGCGGCCGCGGGCCGGCCGGCGCCGCCTCCAGCGCGGAGCAGAGCAACGCCAGCCCGAGGGCCAAGCGGGCGGCGCGTCCCCCCCGCGCCTCCATGTCTGGCCGTGCCGGGAACGCCCTGCACCGCCGACGGCTAGCTCCTCTGACCGCCCCGGCTCGGAGGAAAGGGGCCAACCCCCAGGCGGCTTGTGCAAGCCGGGGCCCTTCGCTGCCTGCCCGGGGCTGCCGGAAGCCGCCACCGCGCCCCGCCCGCACGACCGGGAGCCCCACAAGCCGCCCCTGGCCGGGCCCCCCCCCCCCCGGCTGCCGCCGCGGATCGGGGTGACCTTCGGGAGGTGACCCCCACCCCGGCTCGGCGCTGAGGACCTCCGAAGAGCCAGCCCGGCCGCGGGCAGGGCTAAATTCGCGGCACCAGCGGGTTTGAGGTGGGGCGGGAAGGCGGGAGCCCCTTCCCCGCTCGGCCGGTGGCCTGCGGCGCCCGGAGGGCCCGTGGCTTCGAGCCCTGGGCTCCCGTCAAGGGGTTACGGCTCTCCGACGCGCCTGGGCACCGTGGCTGGAAATCCTGCCCGCCTGGAGCCAGCCGTGGCCCCGCCGGCGCTACCGACGGGCGTGGGGCGCCCCTGAGGGCTGCTGCGTGGCGTGGCGCGGCGCGGCGTGGCGGCAGCGCTGGGGCACAGCCTGGCCCTGCCCTGTACGAGCAGCCCTCGGATGCCTCACTGGAGTCTCGAGCATCTTTTGGAACGAAGGTTTCTCACAGTGTGCATGTAAAAATGGACCGTGGTTACTTAACGTGCTTTAAAATCTAAAAAGCTGATGAAATGCGCCATGAAGCACACCTCTAATGCAGCTTAAGGAAAACGCTGAGGTGTGTTGTAAATACGAGTCTCCGTTGCTAAGGCTTTATGGTAGCAGAGCTGCTGTTTATTACTGAAGGAGGGGAGGTTTCCAGTGAAGGAAGAGGACTTGGTGTCAGGTTTAAGAGCAGACCAGATGCTCTCTGTTCAGATCTGCTTTCCACGGGGTTGCAAACCCATTTTACCGGCAGCTGGAAGACCCTATGTCAAGTGTCTTCTTCACTTTTCAACTCCTCTGAGCAGTGCCACAGGCACCACTTACCCACTTTTCTCTCCCTTATTTATTTTGACATTAATATTGTTTACCTTTAGAATAACCAAAGGCTTCACCAGTAAGCTCCGTGATGGTTTCCATGTGATTTACAGAACATATGTATGTAGGGAGAAGTAGCCTTTGATCGAAAGTGACTGTAAAGTAAAATATTTACCTTTCAGGCTTTATTTGTAAACCAAGTCTTAACAATCTATCTCTGCATTCCTTTCCTCATATTTAATAAAAACTTTTTTTTTTTTTTTCATTCATGACCTCACAAATCACTTGTGAAGATGAATGCGAGTACTGGAGACCCAAGTCTGTTTTCTGCAGTGACTAAAGGAAAGCAGCTGCTCCCACTTTTCTGAGGAGGGTTGGCTGGGAAGGGCAGTGTGGCAAACGCACCTGGGGGCAAACAGGCAGCAACGGAGGGGAGACAGACAAAAGCTGTATTAGGTACTGAAGCTAAGAATTAAATGAGCTAATAAAACCGCAGGACAGAAGATGCTATTTAAACATAACTTGCACTATATCAGCTGAAGCAGCCCAAAACATAGAGACTGCAGCTCCCCATACCACTGGAACAAGTTCTGCTTTTCATTTCTCTGATGAAAAAAGTTTTCTCCTGGATTTTAAAAACTATCCATATCCACCAAATAAAAATATAACAGTTCATAATTAAGGACTATCTTCTAGATGTATAGTGTTGCCCACAAGAGAAAACAGACTTGGCTGTTCCTTTCAGGCAGCTTCTTTGTGAAAAAGTAAGGCGAATAACATTAAAATTTGTATTGGTTAGGTGCCATAGTTACACCTGAACTGTTACCAGATGAGTGAGATGAGCTCTCCTACCTATCCAGGGAAGCAAGAAGCCACTTCCCGTGATAACACATCGCAGATCCAAAGGATGGCACGGTGCAGTATCGGGCTCGGGAAGTTGGGCAGGATGCCCCTCCTGCACCTCCCCCTGCAGCCGCACACTCCCGGAGCACTGACCCGCTAGAGCCAGGGCTCAGCTCTGCCTTGGCGTGACAGGTCAGAGGTAGCTGCACCTCCACCTCAGTGTGTCAGAAAACACAGACTCTCCAAGCAATCTCCTGTGTGCTGCCAGCAACCTGTTTCAATTTTCCTAGTCATCTGAAGCATAAAGCAGTTTTTCCCACCCTGGTCCTGTAGGAAAACTTTCTTCAGGTCTTAATTTATCTCTTTTAAGCAGCATTTTATTTTAAATTGCTCACAGTGCAAATTCTTAGCCCCTGTACGTATTAGCTATAAAACTACAGCTCGGAGAGGGGGAATCTCAGGTTTGTCTTGTACTGCTTTCCCTTTGTTTTCCTCCCACCCCTGTGGAGACTGATGAAAGACAAACGTTGTGCTTTAGGTTCATTCCCCCAGTCCTGCCTTTCATCATGCTGGTCCTTTCCTCCTGCCCTGCAAATCACTTCAATCTTTTGTATAGTAGTAGAAACAGCCCCCACCCCCAAAAAAACAAATTAGGAACTCTCATAACTATTAAAACCAAAACTACAGGATGCTCCCTGACATCAAAGGCTGTCTACATAGTGACCTTAGCATGCACTGAACAAGTTCCCAGTCAAGAGAGAAGCTGAAACTGGATTGAGCCTTTCAGTTCTCTGCCTACAGATGTAAAGACAGGCGCTTTAGATTTCTCCAGTAAAAAGCCACTGAAGTATAGGCAATTTTTCATTTCCCAGGTACTCTACATCACAGAGAGGCTGCTGCAGTGTTATGCATCATATGCTTTTCTGTTTAACTCAGAAAAAGGGTCTTTCAACAGCTCCCTCCAGAACACTGGAATATTAGCTGATTAAATGCAAAAGGAGCACAGGTTGAAAAAACTTTTTAATTAGTTTGATTTGCATTCCAAAACAATTCAAATATGTCTCATTTACAGTAAAAAAAGAGAGGCAAGTGTTTCAGAAATTTAATGCCAAGTTTAACCTTTTTCACTATACAGCACAAGCTTGCCAATTTGATGGCATAAAGTTGTTTTTTTAAAAAACACACTCCCCCAAAAAAACTCTTTATTAACCTTTCATGCCAGAAATGTTCATTTTAGCTACGTTCAGTTATAGACAGTACATTAATCCATCCAGCAGAAGTAACATCTGGACAGAGGTCAGGTAAACTCTACGCTTTCTCATAGTGGCGAACAGCAACCACATCACCAAAGGTGAGAGTCTGCAAGTCCAAGGAAAAGACAAGACACATTAGATGCTGGACCATTTTCTGTCATGACTTAACACATATTCAGAAGTCCATGCTAGAGCAAGGCCAGTTTACATTATGTAATTTATAGAAAAACAAATTGGTCTATTATTGATACTTTAAATTAACAAGAGGCAAAACCTTAGTTATGGTTCAAGTAATAAACATGACTTTCTCCTTGCTACTTTCAAACTCAAGAAACACATAATGCACATTTACAAGGCAGCTAAAGTGAGGCTAGAAATAACTATTTATTTTTTTCTAATTCTTATGAATGTAGTTTCTTAAATATAACATTGTTTTAATACAGATTTAACATTTATTTTCCCAAACCTGATCACACTGCAAGATGTTCAGTCTAAAAATCCAAGTCCTCTATACCCATATTCTGTACTTAGGCATATACTTAATGAGAACCTTGCATTAAAATAAATGCATTCTGTGCACTTATGTAGCTAGAACTACCAAATATTTTAGTTGCTGCAGTTGTGCAGAACACTAACTACAGTGTGTGAGTTTTGGTGGTATTTCCTGAAGTGGAACAGGGTATCTCACCATGTTCAAATTCCAAAGGAAAAGGCTTTCTGTATATGCGTGTAGCTGTTTCCAAAACCAAAGAATGTATTTTCCCTTGAATCGCTTGTCACATTGTGTTGCACTGACTGTATGCTTTAAGGTTTTAATTATTTGGAAGTTTCCATCCATACAGATACACTCTGGAGTACTTAGAAAACAAGCTAACTCTTTTTCTCCAGCAACCAAGTCAAAGATTAGTACAGCTGAAGAGGTTTTATTTTTGAAAGTTACATCTCTGCCAAAAATAAGCATGAGAAGGGCCGCCCAGGGCATTAGAGATAGTAGCTTACAACATTTATTCACACCGTACTCCTGTTCCTGAAAAGTCAGGAAAAGAATGTGAATTTAAACCAAGACTTTTCTTCACACAATTGCTGTTTATCATAATTTTTAACAAGACAGGAATAAACCCTTTATTATTAAATATAAAAATGCTATTACCTCCTGCAGTCTTGTAATTTTATTTTCCTAGGGAAATACTTGTTCTGTGTAATTAAATATTATTCCCGCATGCTAGTTTTTAAAGAAATCTAAATTAGCACTGGCAACAGATCACTGAACTTTGTATCTTTTTCAGCTAACCAGGACTTTTTTTCTTTTGCTCGAGCATTTACACAAACTCTAAAAAGAGCATATACACTCTGGAAATCCATAGGCTGGCCTGACTAAAACCACTAACAATTTTTTAGTTGTCAGTAAAACAAGATGCAAAACAGAGCAAACTAAATATTTGAAAAATCTCTGCTAGCATTCCCCACCAATTAATTTAAGGGCCTGTGTATAAGTAACACTAACTGTTCATAAGGCTTCAGGTAAATGCAAGTGAGGAGTGTTAGCGGTATATGTGACTGCTCAGTGAGATTTATACTTACCATTACCATTTTGCCATCCTTTATTTCTCTCACAAAGTTTGTCTCTTTGCCGTCCCACTTCTGTACGTGCACTAGTTTGTCTCCATCCAGGGTCACAACTGACTGGGAGATACCAAGAAACACAAAGACATTCATTTATTTGGGGTATTCGGGATTCTGCTCACACATTCCGCATGCACTATTCTATTGAATTCTCTTCAATAGATGGATGTGGATCTAGAATGATAAAGTAGTCCCAGCCGTTTTAAAGCCAAGCCCATGAATTATCCTCGTTTTAGGCATGAACTCCATACAACTGCTGTTTGTGTCAAAGGATGGGAAAAGTTGTTTCCTCTGAGCCCCAGTCTCACAAGAACCACTCAGATGTGCTTAACAAACGTAACGTTTATGTTAAGCCCCCAAGGATGCAGGGAAGAAGGCACTTCCCCATTTCAGCTGGAAACAGTTAAGCCAAATGATATTTGGATTGAAAGAGAAGTGGGCAGCTAACACAATTCCTCGACACGGGAAGGCAGAGGGGGGCTGGTGACATAACACGTTGCTTCAGACAAGACATGGTGTAAGTGGGCAACTAAGATGCAATCTTGCCTTTTTTTTTTTTTTTTTCCCCTCCCGTCCTTCACAGTGCTACAACTGGCAGTAGTGTAAGTTACATTTTTTTTCCTTTTACTCTACCAAAGATACAGCCGCTGGGGTGGGGAGGAAGACAAAGAAAAAAGCCACTGCAGCCCCAGAGTTCACTTACTTTGCAGTTTCTATCATCGGGGGTAGTTTCATCGAACTCCTCTCCAAGTTTAAAGCTGATTTCTGTGTTTTTGAAAGTGCTTTGCGTCCTGATCACTACTTTGTCCCCCTCGCTGCTGATAATCACAGTGGGTTTAGTCACATTTCCCACCTGCCGTGTTGCAAACCCCACTCCTAGACCATCAAAGGGAAAGAGAAATCCGTCGGACATTCGGTTTTGGTTTTTTGTTTTTTTTTTTTTTTTTTTTTTTTTACATTTTTTTTGCCACGCATCGAGGCACAGAAATAGAAATCCCTTCCCCCGCTCTACAGCTTTAAACTGTCACAGTAAAATGCTACTTTGCGTTCCGCTTGTGCTCTTACACCTCAAGTACCCACAGCCCCCCCCCCCCCCCCCCCCCCCGCAGCACGGGGGACGGGCGGCAGCCGCCTCTGCCCCTCTGCACTTCAGTCCCTCATCATTCCGGCGTCGCTTTTTTTTTTTTTTTTTTTTTTTCTGTTTGTTTGTCTGTGTGCTTCCAGTTTATCTGCGGACAGCATTTGCCCTTCTCTCATACGCTTCCCCTAACGCTAAGGGCACACCTCCCCAGCAGGACGGGCTCACACAAACCCCGGGCCCCCCCCCCCCCCTCCCGGCGGAATCACCCGCAGTAAATTAATTTTATCGACAGAGGCACGGCCGCCCAAACCTCCCCCGCCTCTGAGAATGCCTTACCTACACCTCTGGCAGTGCGGGGGGGGGGGGGGGAGGGATTTTTTTTTAATTTTTTTTTTATTATTATTACAAAATTCCAGCTCTCTTAACCGTGCCGCCGCCGCCGCCCGGCCGTACCTACCCAGCGCCTTCATGTACTCGTCGAAGTTGTGGCTGTCCACCAGCTTCCAGGTGGCACAGAAAGCCTCCACCATGGCTGCGGGTACCGGGAGCGCTGGCGGGGAGCGCCGCCGCGCCGCCCCCCCTTTAAAGCCGGCGCCCGGCGGGGGGCGGGGGGGGGGGGGGGGGGCAGCCGCGGTCCGCCCCCGCCCACCCGGGACGGCGCCTGCCCCCGCCCCGCCGTGGGAGGGCGCTCACCCCCCTGCCCCCAACCCGCCCCCCCCCCCCCCCCCCCCCCCCAGCTCCCACTCGGGGAAGCGGCGCGGGGGGGGGGCCCGGCGGGACGCGGAGCGGGGGGGGAAGGGAGCGGCTCTGCCCGCCGCAGCCGGCCCGGGGCCCCGCGTTGCTGTCCCGGCTCAAGGGCACCCGCGGGCACCCGGCGTGGGACGCTCCGCTGGGCACAAACGCGGGGCAGCAGCGGGGCCGCTGCAGGACACCGCCCTTCTTAAAAGCTGGCCCGTCGAGATTTTCAAGCCCGGTTTGGTGCTGGGCAAGTACGGATCCCTTTCCCCCACCAGCCCGCGGCACTTGGACGGATGCTGTCTTGAATCGGCACTTGCTTTTGCTGGCTGGAAACTTATCTTGCCTCCACAGCTGACGGCATTTGGAAACTAAGAGTGAAGAAAGAAGGAAAAGAGCTTAAAAATGTTTCATCTAATACGATTTTTTTATTTTTTTATTTTTTTTCTTCTAGAGAGGGAATGACTTCCTTCTTCGTTGTTCTTTGATATTCATTGGAGGCACTAGGTAGTCATCTCCGAGTGTTTTTCAGAAAGCAGCCTGTCTCAGTGGGACAAGCCACAGTGCCGGCTTTTCCACTTTTCCAGACCTACGGCTTGGATGGATTTCAGAGCCGTGAATCTAGCTCTTCGGTTCTTCTAACAAAACTCGGGGACTAAGTGAAAGAGACTTTCTGTGATTTAGGAACAAAACCTCAACAATTTTCTACCGGGTCCAGCCTTACAAAATATAAATAATTATGAATATTTTCCTAATATTTTAAAATTATTTTTGACTGTCGTTTCTTTCAGCCTCCTGTAGTATGGGACATTCTTTGGGTGTAGGGCACGTGACACTTCTGATAGGTTTTTACTTTGATTTGCCACCTTTTCACTTGTCCTCAGAAAGAATTAACCCCTCTCTGAGTTAACCCCAGAAATAAAATCCTAATTCCTTTTACCACACAATTTTCATCAGTCTTAATAACCCAAAGGTACGAACCAGTGCATCTATTTCTCTTTAACCTTCCGTCCACTTGCTTTGAAGCACAGGGCGAGCCACAAAGCACCTTCCTGCAGCTGCTCAGTTTGTCTGAGTTCCTCTTCTGACCTGCACCTCTGAGACTTTTCAGCTAGTGCTCGGAACGCCAGGGAGTGCAAGAGCAGCTTTGCTTGAATTAACAGACCGCCAATTGTTGTTCACGAGGCTGAAAGGCATCAAGTCCCTTTTTATTGTCAAAGTTGAATAATGCCGCGTCTCCAAAGTTTGCACAGAATACCAGCCTGTCTCATACAGACATCCTCTAGCCTAATGTCTGCAGCCAATCAAGCCCTCTCCAGTGAATGAGGAACAGGCTTAGTGATTGGCACTGTCACGGCATGGGGCACGCGGGGATGGTGTTGTGCATGGGTATCACTCATGACTCCCGTTCAGTTTGGGAACTGTTTCCTCAACACAGTAACGTCATCGAGCAGGCAGGAGTGTTCACCACCCGCAGCTGAACCCTGCGGCCGTGGTCTCACAGAGCTTCCTGGCTGGCACCCAGGGCAGCCGACGTGCAAGCCCATGCAAACTGACCTCACCACTCACCTACTTCATCCGAGATGCGTCATATAAAACCCTAAACGGTTTTACCAATATCCTCACGAACTGAAGACATCTTCTCTCCCAGTACTGACAAGGCGGAGTTACTTGCTCGTACAGATTCTGTTTGAAGAAGCTCTGGAGCCTCCGCTGGTCCTTCTGGTGCAGGTGTGTGCACAGAGCCCTGGGAGAGCTCCTTGCTCTCTACGCTCACCAGGGCTTGTCATGTTAGAACCAGCCTCACGGACTTCGTGTGATATAAAACCCCCGAAAGTGATTCAGTGCCACTGCTGGTAGCTGGACTCCTCAAGGACACTTCTGCTTTGCACCTTCTTCCAGAGGGCTCTGCAACCTGGCTCTTGGGAGATAGCCACTTCAGAGTCCTTCAGAATTTAAGCAATCATTCCTACACTGATGGCTCAGTTCTACCAGGATTTCTCAACACACTTAGATAAGACAAGTATCTAGTCTTAAGAAAAATATATTCTTTAACACTTTGCACCATGCTTCAGATGTAAAACAGGGTCTGCTAAAATGTTCACATTCCTTCTGCTGCTTAAATAGATTGCCAAAGTCATCACACCAGGTTTTATGATGGTGAGATCCCACCTGTCTGTGTTAGTGATGAGTTGGGAGCGGGATAAATCAACAGTAGGAAATGTTACATTATTGACACCTTGTGGGGTGACAAGCCACAGCCAAAAATATTTTCCATGGCATCTTATGCCCTATATTTGCTTGTGGATCCTTATGTGAGAGTTGTGTTAATGTCAACAGCTAGTACAAGTCATCTTGATCTATATAGATGCTTTGCTACAGCTGGAAGAGAGACAGCAGTGTGAAATACACTGACCTGGTGTGAATTTTAGGTTGCTGCACAAGAGACCAGATTGGAGTTTCTTTTATGCTGTCAGCAGAGTTTGAAGGTTTTAACAGACTGCATACGCCCCTGTAAAAAGCCGGTGTGACGAAAGATGTCTCTGGAGATTCCTCTCTGAACATCCAGGGACTCTTTCTCGTTTACAGTAAACTCTTTACGCCACCTGAGGAGTGTTTAGTAGGCACATTTACATTGCCTGTGCAAGGCCAACTTAAAAGATGAAAATGCTGTGGCAAGACATCCCCGTGTAATAAGTAATCCTTGCTTCCAAAGGCCATCCAGGGTGAATGTGGGACTGCTCTAACCTTCAGCCTTAGAATACAGGACACAAAAAACTGCTTTTGGCTACCTTTCCCTCCTGTTCTACCCTTGCTTCTCATGCCCACAGGCATTCAGAGAATGAGGCTCTCAGCCTCCTTCACCCTTTGTTCAGTCCTTGAAACAAAAAATTCACTTGTTCAGAAAATTTAAAAAAAAAAAAAAAGGCACCACAGGATGGCCACCAAGCTCCTGTGGTAGAGAAGTCTAATCAAGTGGTTTTCTCATGTGTGGATTCCTCATAATCAGTGTCAGGAGCTGCTGAGCATCTAGTTACGGCAGCCAGTCATTGAGGGCTTTGTACTCTGGTTGTGGAAACATCGTGAAATTGGTTCAGTTAATGTTTGAAGTCAGGTTTATCTATCCTTCTGCTGTGTCCCTTTGTGGATCTAACACAGGAGGGGCACTCTTGCTACACCAAGTCAGTTAAACCTATCCTTTCACCATCCTTGCAGCACAATAGCCAGCAAAAACATATTACTCTGCAGAATTTGATCAGTCGTTAAGGGGATACTAGGTTACAAGACCTTCAGATAATATAGCGATAACTGCATTATGCAAACATTTCTGTGTTCAGGGCAATGAAGACACTGGAACTGCAGAGCATCTTGTACCCAACAAAGGAGAGCGGTGACACCGGGGCCTGACTCCCTGGTACGAAGCGGATGTAGGCACTCGAAGGCATTTTAGGTATCGAATCCCATTGAAAGTCGACATGATTCAGGGTCCTAACTCACTTGGGCACTTTGGCAGTCTCTTAGCATTCTGAAACACGCAGGGGGCTATTTTTGAATTAAGGAAATTGAAAATAATGTGTGTCTGAAAGTAGAAGAGATTTCCTCCATTTATGGACAGCAGACTAGGGCATTCTCAGCACATTTTAACCTTGTTTGAAGCCCTGCTGTGAATCTCTGGGCAGCTTTGACCTCAGTGTAATACAGAAACGACCAGATTTTAATAGCTATTGTGTCAGATGGGATGGTGTTGCTTCAGGGCTGAGAGTGATTTGATTTTTGGTGCTGCAGAGAAACCTAATGTCAAACAGGGCAGTAGGATGTCCTTAACTAAAATCATCTCATGTGTCCTTTAGCTGTCTATGAGATTTGCTGATCCCCGTAATAAAAATAAACTGTCTCAGTGCTGTCAGTGAGTCACAGAAAATCACTAGGTTTACTCTACTGATGGGCAGCTCTTTGGAAATCCCAGTTTAAACAAAAGAGATAAGTGCCTTATGGAGAAGACGCCCAATTAGGCAGCTGCACAAGCAAGTGGTCACAGAATGGCTCCAGGTACAGAGCGGCTGTATGAATCCGGTCTTGTGCTGCCTAAACGCCATGGGAAGGGCTTTGCTGGAACTGCGGACCAGGTGACAGACAAGGTGCAAGGCAGTGCAGGCAGGAGCAGGGAAGACATGTTTATACTGTATCCCTTCTAAGAGCATGGCATACCTTAGGCAAAGCTTAGGAGCACGTTCAGCAGGCTTCCTGACACTATAAAAGCTCAACCGAAATGACGCCAGGACAGGCTAACATCAGAGCACAAGTCATGTTAAGGTCTAATTCTTGTGTTTCTTGCTAATTGGTGACAAGGAAGCGGTCTGTGATCAGGTATTTCATTCTTGTAGACTCTCTCTTAGGTTACAAAGTGGTGTGACATGAGATTAGGAGAGTCCTGGAAAGTAAATACCCACTAATACCTCATTATGGACTATTAGACATTTATTCGGATTGGTTTAAGCTGAGAGGACAGCTGGTCTACAATGGTTTAAAGAAGGAAGCAAATACTACTAAATATCTCCAGGTCTTCTCTGCTTCTTAAAGGTGTTTGGGGGGTTGTTATCTGTTGTCTAGTATTACTGTATCTACCATTTAGCGGACTCAAGTCAGAAGCTCTCTTTAAAGAGTTAGCCTGTGCTAAAGCCAGCCACCTCCCTGCCTCCCAGTTCTATTTACTGAATGTGCAGTTATTTTAAGTTTGTACCATTAGGCCTTTGGTTATTTTAATATGTCTTTGCTTTCTTTTGTGTTTAAGAGTAGAAAAACTATTTAAAAGCCTCTAAAATATTACAGAAACATCTGATACAGGGTGTCACTTACAATAGCTGTCTAGTTATTGTAAAATC